GTATTTCCAAAAGAATGCAACACAAATTGACAAACTATTGTGGTGTGTAACTATTGCTGACACGAGCCTTATTATCAAACAAACAGAAAGGCCCTAGGAAGTTGAAGAATTGTAGACCACTGAAGTCTGACTTCTGTGTTGAAAAGAAGCTAGTAATAAATAACAAAACTAGTAAACCATAGACACAGCTTTTGTGGAAGAAAGCCATGCCACAGAAATATATTATCATCTTTTGAAGAAATCAAAAACTATGTGGACATGGGTGAGCCTATTAATAGAACAACTGAATTTCCAAAGTCTTTGATGAGGTTCTTTGCTTTCTTTACAAGTAAAGTTCTTCATGGCAGGGTATGATGGAAGATCTCTTAGATTAATAACTGCTAAAGCGTAAAAACTGTCTAGTCATTCCATTTTTTTAAGGGAGCTCATGACTGTAGCAGCATAAGCGTCTGCAATGGGATCCAAGCTGTCCACCTCCTCTTCCAGGTCATTACTGAACAATAAAAAGAGTTCTTGGTAGTTGCAATTAAAATGACTATAAACAGCTGCAGAAGAATTCAAGAACACTACCAAGGAAATGAGCTGGCAGGAGTGCTCATTGCAAGTGTAAATTAATATATACGGAGTGTTAGACCACTCTTTGTGCATATACTCAGTGACAGACCCTAAACTTGGCATTACCACTCAAAAAAAAAACCAACCCCAAAAAACTTGGAGTCAAATATGGATAGCTCTTTGAGCATTTTATCTCAGAGTTAACGAAAGGGCAAACAGAATGGTAGGAATAATAAGGAAGGAATATGAAACATTTATATAGTAGCTTGATGTAGATATCTCCGATATTCCCATATCCCAGGGTGGCAGAGTAACAGAGGTACATGACAATATCCGGGAGAAGAGGTTAAACAAACACCATGTTCTTCAGCCTGGAAAAAGTCACTGACTCAGGATGTCATTAATTCCAAGAGTATAAATGCATTTAAAAGACAAGTCTGTGCACAGAAAAAGGTCTCTGAAGCATGAAAATCCTGTTGCAATTTTTGGCTCAAGTGTCCCAGCCCACTGGTTGCCAGGAATGAAACTTAGTCCATTCTTGTATGTTTTCTCCCAAGCATATGTTATCAGCCAGAGCCACAGTGAAGATTGTCAAGAAAAATGATCTCTGGTCAGACCCAGTATAGCTGTATTTTAATTTAATTTTATTTTAAAATACTCTGGACAAGTGGCTCATTATGCTGGAAAAACAAGTCCGTTCTTGTTCTTCCTAACAGCAATTCTCTTCAGTTACAAATTTTTTTTTTTTTTTTTAAGAGGACACACTTTGTTACCTGACAGCATTCACCCTCAAATCTAGGTGTGGTGTGTTTATCTTGAATCCAAGACCATCCAGCAACTTTATCACTCTGTTTTTACTTCAGCTCTACCTCTGTGCAGACTCCTGATCACAAAAAAAAAAAAAAAAAAAAATCCAGGGAGCAATCAAATTAAGATCCTTCTTCCCTAAAGCTACCATTAGTTTTATTGTAGGTCTGCCAGGAGGCAGGGACAACATGTAAAATTCAATATAAATGACTGCTCTTAAAAGTAGAAGGCTGCCACCTATCAGGATAATAACGAAAAAAATCCAAAAATGGTAAAAACCACCAAGTTTTAGGAAACAGTTTTCTTCCAGCAACTGTACAGAGGTTTTGGACAGGGCCCGCTAAGCCTGCTCTACTTCTTTGCAACCAGAAATAAGGTGGAAAACAGGTATCGCTCCACCTAAACCCAGTTTATAGCTCCCCTGGCCCTCCTGCAGAGTGCTGAAAGGCTGCAGTGAGATGATGCTGTCTTTGAAATGTACGCTGACTTTTACATATCCCCATACGTTCTTGATTTTGTTTAACCAAATCTATGACTTGCTATATACCAACAGAAGTGCTTGGCTTCAACCTCAAAATAGATTGGTTAAAATCCATGAGGCAAGAGTATGCAGTACTGGCAAAATGGAAATATTCTGATGTACCCTACAACTTCAACACACCATCCAATGTTATTCCTCTCTACAGGGTGCAGCAAGAGTTAAGGCTTTTTATGGACGCTGAGACTGCCGAGAATCACCAGCAAAGTTCCTACTGAATCAATCAAGGCAGCTGGCAAATCATCTTGTCAACGTCTCCAACTCCAAAGTCAAATCTAAACATAGCAGGATTGAATTCCCCTTCATTGGCATTTCTTCCATCTTCCCCCTCCAGCAGGGACAAGCCCTAAAGCTATGTGGCTTTTAAGCTGAGAGAGACAGTTCTTGCAGCACTATTCCACTCCTGCTAGTACTGCCTGGGAAAGCATACTCCACTGAACAAACCTGACCGCTTAGGGTGACGCTTAAAAATTTTGATGCCTAAACGAGAAGGCTGAAGTGAGGTCTACCTGGATTTGAAAGTCTGAACGAATAACCTGTTTTTTGCCTGAAAGATCTTCCTCAATTAGCAATGCCAAGATACCATTAACCAAAAAAAGATGATTATACTGCACGTTGGTAGGATTGAACTGAATGTTGACCAGCCTTATCAACCAGAATGGCTTCTGGACCTACTAAACAGATCAGTGGGAGGAAAATAAATAGTGTATCCAACAGGCAATCTGCTGCCTTTTGATGCATTTCTCGTCAGTGTCAGGGGATGAGCAGGAAAGTGAGTATGTTGATACCTGAAAGCATACAGCAACATCAGCCAGTCTTACATTACTACTTCTCTCTTCTGCCATTCCCAGGAGACACACAGAAGCTATAACACTTAATCTATTTAGGGCAACCGCAAGCATCCCAAATATTCAATACATAAACTATTTGATAAAAAGTTGTCTGAAAAATGCCTTTTGTTCACATTGTTTTTCATGCTGTTTTGTTTGCTTGCTTAGAATATTAAATAATAAAACCTAACTTCGATTTGAGCTGCTGGCTTTGACCTCCACGGAAGATTTATCTGCAAGTGTGCTTGGAGGAAACCGTTTCTAAGATTCATCTTTTCTGCTCTGATCGGTCACATAGCTGTCTCTCTTATTCCTCGAAGTATGAGAAGTATTAAATTCTTCTTTGGGAATGTCTATTTATTACTTTCCTTCAGAACAGAAGTAAAGACAAACTCTGAGATTATGCCAAAAAATACTTCAGGAAGCTATAGGTGTGAAACTATCTGGCAGATGCTCTCTTGATGCCCTCTACTTTGGGGAAAATCGAAGGGGAGGGAGTACTCGAGCTCTGCTGCCAAAGATACGGTTACTTGCCCGGGCAGAGGCAGCCTGGTTCCACCTTCACATGACACGCTGCCATTTCTGTTTTGCTGTCCTTGCAGAGTGGAGAGCAAGGAGGGGAGCGCACTTCCACCTCCTTCCTCCCCCTCTCTTTAAGGAAGGCAGAGCCAAAGCGAGCTCTGCTAACATGAACTCCTGACATCAGCTCCCCTCTGCTCCGTTAATCACAGCATCTGACAGGGAAACAGGTTTTCTCAGCGAGTTTCCTTAGTCCTGTTGCCTCCTGCAAAAGGGGCCCCAAAGGCTGCACACGCCTCAGCAGAAGCAGCAGTGTCTGGGGAACAACCTCCCAAAAGCAAACGCCGACCTATGCAGGTTACCCAGATTGTTTCTTCCCCTTCAGAAAAATCTCTTCAGCACAGAGGTCCAACTGCTGACCACAGCAAAGAAAGAAAACTGAAGTGAGCCACAGCCGCTGGCAGCAGACAGGCACGGTCCCCTCCTCTGAGTGACAGCAAGTGGAAACCTCTAGTGAGTCACCTGAGGAACACAGCACGAAGAAACAGAAACGCTGTACTCTGTACACTTCATTTGCTTTCAATGAGTACACACCAGGTAGTAAATTCAAGCAGCCATACATGCAGAGGCATGAGTCAGACTCACAGCTGGCCAGTTCTCTCCTACCTTGCAAAATGGAAAAACACCCACTATAAAAGGCTGCAGCAGACCCTCAGTAACCGGCCAGTGATACAACCCAGAGGTTGGCACCCAATCCAGGGATCGGCGTAGCTCCATTGCCAGGGACAAGGGGGAAGTGAAAACAGGGAAGTATCTCACTTAATCTCTAAATTCATACACCCTCCCCTCCAAATGCAAAAAAAAAACCCCTATAAACCAAAGCACCAAACAAAAAAACCCTACCAATCAATCAATCAGTTTGCTCAGAGACCTGTCCTTAGCTGATATTTAACAAGGAAAATTATATCAAATGCAGATTAGCCTGAGAGCAAAATTGGCTCCAGCATATACCAAAGATCAGAAGAGACTGTGTAAACCTGTTAGTAATTATTGAGCAAGTGTTAATAACTTCCCAGAATTTCTCCCCACCAAATCAGACACCTTCCTAGCAAGCAAAAAATGTTTTTTCTAAGATTGCTTCCTTCTTTATGACAAATGCAGTGAGAAACTTTTAGAAGACTACTCTTCCGTTAGCTCCAAACCCCAAACACCACTATGGCAGATCTATACTTCTGTTAATGCAGGTAATTAAGCGGACTTGTTTAAAGGCAACAATATTTCCTTGTTTCTGTTCTCTCTCTTTTTTTTTTAAATTTTTTAAAGCATTGGAGTGAAACCGAAACTGAATAAACTAACTGTAGTATAGGAACTTCTGCATAACACAATAAAGAAAAAGCATTCTTTCTTAAAAACAAATCTTAAGTAGTTATGGATTAAGAAAAGAAGATATGTCCATGAAGACTGTGCCTGGACCTGGAACATGCAAACACATGCAATTAGACACTAAAATAAATGACTTCAGAGATAAATCAATATAGATTAAGTATTCATGAAAGGAATAATTGGAACAGCATTAAGAATAATATATGGAAACATTTGGCATAGCACAGCACTCTTGCCTGTCAGGACAAGAAGCCTTAAGTATTTGGCCTAATTAATAACATTATTTTAAGCATCGATTAATATATACAGTAAGGAAATAATTAAATCTTGTAAAAACAGAACGAAAAGAAAACGAAAAGTTTGCTTACTCTTCTTGACGCAAGTCATTAACGCTCCGATCTAGTGAGATCATATCACTTGCCACCATATTAAACCCAAACTCTTTAATGCTGGCTTGAATGGATTCTTTGTAATCTGGTCCTAAAACATATGGCTTCGCTTCCTCTCCAGGGCCACCAACAACTCCATGAGGCTCAGGCTCTTTGGGTTCAAAATTACCAAGGACTCCAGGTCGTAAAACAGGATCTCGGTATACAAATGTCTGAGGCTTAAATGTGAGATACTGCCTCTGGATGATGTTTTGCTGTTTGTTATCACCACCGCCACCATGATGATTTAGTTCATTTTTGGCCTTATTTTTCCTTCGAATGGATTCCAAGTCCACTTCCACACCTTCAACATGAGGCCAAGGTACCACAGGTTTGAACTTCTCATTTCCTAGTCCATGGTCTCCTTTGTTTGGCATAGGTCTGTTGGCTTCCTTGTCATCCTATATATACACACAGAGAAACAGCAGGAGATCATATAAATTTATGACCATTTATTTATTTAAGTCCAGTACCTTAACGCACTGACAGTTGGTTCTAAATACATGTTAAGCAACAAGGGAGAAGTCTCTGTTAAGGGGTGGAATGAACATGTTTTACTCAAGGAACCGGCTGCTGAAGAATATCATCAGCTGGTGTCCACGCTTACTCCATTTCCAGGATCTACTCACCAAGGTAATGCCCAAAGCATTCCCAAAGACCAAATACCCACATAGCACATGTTAACTTGAACACAGTTCAGGCTGCACATCAAACCAATGTGCAGGGAGCACCGACAGAGCATTTTAGGAAAGAGAGGGTGGTACAGAGGCAGACAACGCCGCACTCCAGAGCCCGGCACCCTTGGGACCGCTCTTGTACAGGGCGTTTCTGAGGCTACGCGTACTGGCTGCTGAGACCTCCACAGGGTCTCAGCGGTTGCTAGTTACAGCCTCAAGAAAGAGTGCCGTGACTACGTGTAATCTGGCACGCACATCAGCAGCAGCCTCGAGCCACATCTAATCCCTACCCTTAACCCCCTTGACTTGCTCCCACCAAGTACTACTGCAACAGCAGCGCTGGTTTTAGAGTCATGAGGTAAGCTGAAGGCACCAGTGACAGCAGGCAAAAATGAGATGCACCCCTGATATGCTGCACGGCCAGAGACAGACCTGCCCGGAGAAGCGGTGCTGGGGCTGAAGAGAGCTGCCACAGGCATTGGCACCGATATCTCCTGCATCCTTGTTTAAAACAACTTTACCATTTCATGGCACTCGTCCCCGCCTCCCCACCAAGAGACCTGAAGATCTCACTGAGAAGAAAGGCTGCGATTTTGAAAACTGCTTGGCATGTTCAGTGATGAGTGAGGTTGGTGGGGTTAGAACAAGGGTGTATGATTTTAGAAGAAACCAGACAGAAAGGCTCTGAAGCATCCGAGTGTGAAGTCTCCAGAGTACAACAGCTGCACCCATGAACACTCACCAAAACATACAGTCACTGCTTTTTCCAATACTACTGTCCAAGAAGACAACAGGAAAACATTGCTGAAAGTTCAGATTTCCTGCTAAAATTATCTATTTCTAAACAGGACAGATATTCTCTACAGATGCCAGTGTGATCTAACACTGCACACATTTTAGCAACACCTCACTATCTATTCACAAATACAGAATCAAAGAAAAAAAAATGAGATCAGAAGGATGTCACCTATTCAAACCTGCTCAAGGCAGGGCTACCTTCACAGTTAGATCAGGTTTCTCAGAGGCTTGTCCAGTCACATCCCAAAAACCTCCAGTTCCTCTAGACAACCTGTTCCAGTTGCTTGGCCAGTCTCATGGTGAAGGTATTTTTCCTCATACCTCAGGAGAGATTTCTCATGTTACATCTCGTGATGATTGCCTCGTGCACTCCCAAGAAGACGTTATTTCCATTTTCTCTGTAACCTCACTTTTGAGGGTGATAAGCTGCAATTAGATTTCCCATTAAACTTCTCCAGCCAAACCAAGCCGAGCTCCTCTATCCTTTCCTTGACTGTGTCACATGCTGCAGCCCTCTAACCTCCTTAGCAGGTCTTTGCTAGTTCCTCTCCATTTATTAACATCTCTCCTGTGCCGGGCAGTGCAGGAGGAGAAACCAGACGCAGCGCTTCAGATGCAGGCTTGTTAATTCTACGTGTCAGGAAACAAACCGTATCCCTTTGCTTGGTGGCTAAGCGCTTCCCTCATGTAACCCGTTATGCAGTTTGCTTTTACTGAGGCAAGGGCACAATGCTGACTGATGTCCATGTTTAACTAAACCACACAATACTTACTACTGCATTACAGTTATTTTCCTCATGTATCATTCTGCATAATAAAACTTCAGAAATTAAGAAAAATCCCATGTAAAATGTGTCTAGGTTAACATGGTAACAGTGGGAGTCAGACTGGCTCCAATTCAAAATAATAAAAGTTTATTCAAGAAACTTTGACCTCTCTGCTTGTTCTAGTTTAAACAAGGAAGATGTACAAAATGCAGAAGTGTTATATTATTCTGTTCTTCCACCACTGTTTTTTGAGGAACTCAAAAGCCAGTACGAGAAAGGGAAGGAGAAGGGCATGCGAAAAGGCACATTTTGCAAGGAGGCAGAAGGCTGCCATGGATCTAAATAAAGCCCTGAGAGGGCTTTTGAAGAGAGCATCATCTCACGCTTACCCTAGAAATCAAAAGGAAGGCTTTGCCACTCGACTGTCAGAACACTGCTGAGCACTCGGCTCTTACCACCTCGTGTCCAACTCCTGCTCTGACTGCAGAGGCAGCTGTAAAAGCCAACAAAATGGTGGGCATCATTAGGAAGGACGCTTAAAGAGGGCATAATTTTGACTGCATAAAATTTTGAGACATTCACGTCTTCAGTAATATTTAGTTCTGGTCTCCACATCTCAAAATGAGTTAGAGAAGGTAGAGTAGGGTAACCAGAATGAAGAAGGTAGATAGGTGCTTTGAGATGAAAGACCAGAAAGGCTGGCCTTTCATCTTAAGACCCTGCAGTTTGGAGATGTGATGGCTGACGGGTATACAACTGAAGTTTAGAAAATCATGATGGTGATGGATAAATTGAATGGAAACCCACTGTTTACCCTAAATACAAGAACTGGAGGCGCTTGACAAAATAGGTAGGAGATCAACCAAAAAACGTTCTTTGCACAGTCATCTCCTGGAATATGATGCACAGGAGTCTGTGGAGAGAGACGGTACAAACAGTCGAACAAGGGATGAGACAACGTGATGGACGACAGGTCCATAAGTGTACTGTAAAAGGGCTGGGTGGGCAGGTACCTCCTAAAAACTCTAATTCAACAGCTGTGGATGCTGGAAGAGTCCAAAGGGAAGGGAGCATAGAAAGCAGACAGGTTTAGATGCTGCCACTCTCAGACACCATCCTGGATCACTAGTCTCAGTCAGGCCGGAATTTGTTACACCCCTGGCCTGTATGAAATTAAATATCCTTTCATTCCACTTTCGTCACTTATAAAACAGTTACAAACTTCCACTTAGCCAGTTCTCCGACTGAAACATAACACTTCTCAAAGTAATTTGTTTATTTTGCTGTCATCAGAACTATGACTTATCTTGTATTACTTTTAGCTTCATTATAACTGTTAGGCACAATTTGCATTATAATGCATTTATTTGCTGTTCCCTTCCAGACACTAAATACATTCCATTTTTTCAAGCCTGCAAAAATATTGCATAAAACAAGAAAATTATACACAAACACACAGACACACACATTCACCTCTCTCCTTCATTTTTTAAGTACCTAGGACAAATATGATGGAAGGCAGCTCAGCACCACACAGCTGCTCACCCCTCCCTCCCCAACCCTAGGCACAACTCTAAAGCACAGCATCATATGGGATGCTGTGAAGAAAACTAACTCTGTCTCAGCATTTTATGGGCATTTTTACAAAAAAAGGAACTAGCAGTGTTTAAGTGTGTGGTGCAGACCCACAGCTCCTGGAGGTTATTCGTTCCTCCAGAGAAAACTGAGACAAAGGTTTTCCAAATACTGCCTGGAAAAAAAGCAAAGTCAAACCACAATCAAAGAACTATTTTGGTCATCATATAAGCCACAATGCCTTAGGAACTTCCAGAGCTTCTTCTCTTTTATGAATTGACTTCCCCACCCCCCTTTATTTTTTCTAAGTGATTTAATGGCATATCAAAAAAATAAAATAATTTTTAATCAGTGTGCCTCACCGATTAAAAGTTTGGCTCGGCTAAAAATGTAGTATCAAACTTCTAAAAGATTCATACAACAATGACAGTCAAACTGGAAGGCATGCATATTAAGAAAATAAACCAGAACAACCCTTCTGAAGTGGAAAAACAAAGATAGTCTTAAAATTATTTGAAAAAACTTTGTAAGAGACAAATCAATGAAAACAAGATGAAGGAAGGGCTCTGAAGAAGTGAGCACAACATACATCTGAACACTGCACTTCTAGGTTGTCCAAAAATGAGGGGAGAGAAGCAAAAAAAAAAAAAAAAATATCTGTGAATTCTCTCACATCCGAAGACAAACAACAACAGAATCTCATTACATCTTTATAAAGGACACATAAGCTGTTTACATACAGTAATACAGAAAAATGTTTTTTCCACAGATCATTGTTTTTTTCTGTAGAGCTAGATCTAGGATTTCCTGCCAGCTTTTCTAGCTCCAGTTCAGTGCATGCTTCTTTATTTTTTTAATGTTTTTTTTTGTTTTTTTTCATTCCTTAGGGGAGTATGTATGAGTCACTGCAATGAGTGTTTCGGAAACAGTGAGATGATATAAATACAACCAATCCCTGACTTGTACGAGGTATTTGGTATAATTTTTTTGCACATTAGGTTCTTCCTTTTTGCAAAAAAGAGGAATGCAATTAAAGGTATAGGGAACATAACTGTATCCCTTTGGAAACATGTTTCTAAATTATACAAATTAAAAGGAAAAACTGGGAGAGGTCTTCATAGGGCCGCAAGATTTGTCAGCTGGTAGGAGGGTTGGAGTTGTAGCTGGCAATAAAACTGCAAAAGTAAAAGTTGCATAATCTGCTTTTCTTCAGTCAACCAGTTCAAGACTGGCAACTCCCTAAAACTCCCTATGAAATAATGTCTGAAGTACAAATTAATGTTAAAAAAGTGGATTTGCTTCATTTCTAAAATGAAAGATTATCATACTGAAAAACGTTTTCTAATTCAAAGCAAGGTCTATAAAAGCAACTTGCTCATCTAGACAAAAATCAGTGATGCACAAAAAATGAAAAGAGGAATAATTAAGTAGAATCCAGTAGTATTCTCATTACCCAAGGACGCAAAAGGAAATTAAAAAAAACCTTCCACTCTCAGAATATACATGTTCATACCCAGCTGATTAAAGACAGATACCAAGCATTGCAATATTCTGGCGTTCCTCATGAATAAACTAGAAAAACTGAGACAGTTTAATATTTTAGTAACCTAGGAGGCCAATCCCTATGTAGTTCTATTTTCTCCAGTTCAGCTTTTACTTTTCTTAGCTCTTGGCTGCATCTACACCACTGCACTTACCATGAAAGACAAATACAATATATGTTCTTCTACCATAAGGAAGGGTTCAAGGGCTTTTAACTGAGGTTGAATCAACAGCTCTCAGACCTCCCCTGATGCAAGTTCCTCTTCTATGCAAAAAAGCAGCATTTTGAGTAGAGCTTCTGTCACAGATACTCTGACAGAGACCACACAGCTATCAGTTTAGCAAGGATTTCAACATATTTAAAGTATTTTGCTTTGTTTGCCTCAACTTAATGCAGCCACACTCCTACTGTATCAGACTAAAAAGGACACGAGAGAAATTATATAGAGCTTAGCATTTTCAATTATTTGAGTACATAGGAGGGGGTCGTTTTAATTTATTCAGTTACCTTGTAAAAAAAAAAAAAAAAAAAGAAAGGACTACAAGCTGGATTCACAGATTTCCTTGTTGACTAGACTCATGCTGGGAAGATACTAAAACAATGTCTGTTCTCAGCTAAGCTTCTAGCATGATTCTGCTCTACCAGCTAATAAGAGAGAAAAAAACCCCAACATGTAGTTTATTTTGGTTTGCTTTGAATCATTATGTGTGGGTCTTACTTACCAGGTTACAGTTCAGGGCACAGATGGAAAAAAAAAAAATTAAAAAAAAAAAAAAAAAAAAAAAAAAGAAGTGCCACACTGAATTACTTATTCCTGCAACTGGTTTTGTGCCACATGATAGAAGACTCCACAACGCTCTTACGAACAAAAAACTGGAAGACTTTTCAGTATACAGGATCAAATACAGACAAAAGGGAAAATCAACACATCCAACAACATATTTCTGAATAGATTTCACTCTAGATACCCACTAACTTCAGAATAAATAAAATGAGCAATGATTCCCTCAACACAGCTGGCTGACTGTCAAGGGACCCTTATGGGATTGCACACCTTCCACTTCCACCACCCACAGTAACCTTCATCCAAGCATTCAGAAGTTCTAGCTACTGCAGGACCGGCTGCAGCGGGGAAAGCAAAACCAAAAGCACACACAAATGGAAAAACACGGCTTCTCAAACAAGGATAAAGATCTATAGCACAACTGCCATCACTTCAGAAAATAAATAAATAATAAAAAGCCCTTTGTAATCATTACAAGTTTTTGCACAAAATAGTCTGTTTTAAGCTCCACATGCAGCACTGCCTTCAAGTCCTAGTTTGCAAAACCTTCCATCGAACAATTTCATCACAAGGCAACTGTGTTGACTCAAATTAGGGCAGAAGTTGGACCAGGAGAATTCTTTTGTTGAAGAGGAGCAGCAGCATTCAAGCCACCTGGCTCGAAAGGGGCATTCGCTGCCACAGTGCCTGGGCAAAACTGTCTCTCTCGTGCTTTGGCTTCTTCTCTCAGTGTATTTCCGAGGCACTCCAAAGGTGATGGAGAGCATGCTTATGGGCTCAGTAGCTCCTACAGTGACTTTTAAAACTTGTGTAAACTTAGAACAGAGCATTTATGGGAACGGTAGAAACACAGAGAGAAATACAATTTCACACTAAATTATAGAAAGCTTTTGAAGTTTAAAAATACATGTTTGTAAAAATAACAGATTGCTAAATCACTGTAATTGCATGCTTTGTGCAACCTAAGTGAAAAACCATGCTGTTGATGGTATTTGTCACCAGCATTTCCAGGAGAACGTAAGAACATAACTTACAGACTTACGTTCATAGTTGCCCTCAATTTTGACAGATATACAGACAACATGAAAGTCCATTATGCAACCAATGCCATCTCTCCATAGCAGATTTTTGCCCCATTAAATATTCTAGGGGAAACAAAACGTACTTAAGACCTGAATCATACCTATTAGTGCTAAAGCTGCGTAAGTTGTGTTATACCAACCTGAAATAAGTTTTGGTAGACAGAACTAACTCGAGTACAGTTTTGTACCACAAACACATTACTGTGATGGCATCTCCAAAGAGCAAGTAATCCTACCAGGCAACGACCACACCAGCCTACTTTTTGGAGTGTTCAACACAAGACGTGGTCAGAAGCCACCTATGAGCCACAAAGAAAACTCCAAACAATTAAAAAGAATTTTGATGATCTAAACAAGCAAGCATTACATATATATATATATGTATGTTCTATTCATTAAAAAAATACATAATTCTGAAGTGTAACTAAGGTACAAGGGCCACAAGCAGCTTTGGAGAAATGCGTGTTCAGCAGTAGTTTTATACTGTTGTGTATTGTACTCCCACCTACATCTGAAGAATGAAAAATAAAATGTAGTGTTTTTTTTTAATTTAAAAAAAAGGAAGCCAACTTCCCCCTTCACCTGCTTCCTAGATTTCACAGCATCTGTCAAGCTGATTGATATGTGATGCACTACTCATTGCCCTGCACCATCCTGTATCCAGCTTGTGTTCTCTTGACCCCTTTCTCTCAGTTCTCAAGCTACTCCTCGAGAGAGAACTGTTTTGCCAGGGACAGATACCTGTAATAAAACTGCTAGTCAGCAGCATTGAGGAAAATCCCTTTTCCCACTCATGCTCTATGCCCTATCTGATACAGCTGAACAGGACAATCACTAGTATTTACATTTCTACAGTTACAGAAGTAACTTAGTTTTCAATAGATACCAGCAGACCACAGTCAGTAATATCGACTCAACTCTGGAGGGAAAAAAAAAAAAAGAAAAAGAAGTAGTAGTAGTATCTTTGAGCCCCAAAGTTACCTGAGTTAGCGGAGGCAAAACAACTTAGGTGAGTAATATCAACAATTTTCTTCCATCTTAGGGTTGACACTCCTGAGGTTTGAAAGCATTGCTTATGGAAAAGCAAGTGGCATGTTCAAAAATAAAAAAGGAACATAATAAAGAAGAACTGTTTGTAAATATGTGAATTTGGCAACAGCTTGATGTTCTGCTATTTTGAAGGGTTTTGACAGAATTTAGCATTCAAGTTCTGAGTGACTTTCATTAATCTACGTGAATCTTTGCATCACCGATTCTAAAAAATGGTAAAAACAACTTCTTGTTACCTAGTAATGAGTCTAAAAACTAACAATATTCACCAACATCTGAGGTCATCTCTGCTGGTGTTTGAACCTGTGAGTGGAAGACAGACACTGAGGAAGATAAGGCTCAGTTTCTCAACTTTATTTTATTTTTTAAGTGGTTGCTGTTGCTATAAGAGTTCCCTGGGCAAAGAGACCAACTAGCTCTTCCTGTTGTCTTGGATTTTTGTGAAGATACTGTCTACTTCATCACAGCAGAAGCATTCATTTAGGACAGTGACTTCAGGCTATTGCTGCATACTGCCATGGTCTGCAGCCAACACCTCACAAGGTCATTGCATACAAAGTTGTATTAAGCTATGGAAGCCCTCAGGTAACAGATCACATGGAGACTGCCTCCACCCCTTGTCCTTCCCTTTTTTTTGTGGCATATCTGTAAATATAAGTAACTCCAATATTCAAATTTCTAACAATGCAAGAATACTTATTTTCAGTTGAAATAACTTGATTGCCCAGCTATTTGCCTAACAGAGGGGAACACCATAAATCCTGAGTTTTCCCTGTTTACCTGCAGAGTACCTTGTTTAAAGATATATATCCACATTTAGATAAGTCATCTAAGCATCCCATGTAAATGAAATGGTTCTGTTCCAATATTATCTTTCACTTGCAAGGGGAATTCGTCTGAGCTAATGATGCTCCTGTCATCCTCTTTGGCCTTGCTGTGCACACATCACTTAAAACTCTTGCACAGCAATGCAATCCTGCCACAAGCGCCGTTTTGGCTTGTACTGCTTTACCCCCTGCCCTCGCTCCTACACTCCCTTTTTTGATGTCCCTGCTCCCCCACAATCTCCTGCTGTACATGTCCCTCCTCCTGGAGGAGTCTGGATCTTCCATAAATGTCATGGTCACACTCATATGCATCTGGTCCAGACTGAGCGACTTCCTTTACTTAGCCAAGTTCAGTTACCTCCATCAAAAGCAGGGACTACCAGGAGACCTGGCCCGAGTGCTTCATGCCAGACCCAGTCTCTTATTGGGGATGCCACTGGCCACCCAAAACTTGCAAACTTCTCTGTCTCTCTCACCTTCAGTGAGACTTAAGAGTACAAAAAGGACAGTGAGAACATGGCCTGTACTTGACCTATCTTACATGGTGCCTCCTTAGGAGAGGTCCAATTCCTGTGCGGCAGGCAGTTTCACAATTAGACTCTGCCTGACTGAAAGCAAGTAAAAATAAAGACACTTGAGTGCTTCAGAACAAATTACTGTCAAAAATAGCAGTCTCTTATTGTCCTCGTTTTTACTGGCACTCAGTGTTTGGGGAATATTGAACCAGCTGTTAAACCTTCTAACTTGCCTTCCTTGTTGCCTGAGATTCAACTCTTACTCAGCTTTTACACATCCCATTCCTACCACTCCTGGCACTGTCATAGCTTATTGTCCCATACTGCCCCTGGTCCCACCTGTGGTTCAATAGTCAGGCTGCGTTAAAGAAGCCTTGCCAGAGATCCACTTCACTCAAAGCCTCCACTTAAGAGATGCCAGAGAACTTCGTGGAGGTACCCACAAGCAATGCACCTCTCCTTGTGGCTCTGGAGCGCACCACGTAATCTGGGATAGCAACTAAGGAGATTTAAAATAGAAAGACTCAGATAAATACCTGAATAAACAGATACTAAAGAAATCTCTGCTTAACTTTGTAACTTAAGGCTAGTTTTAAAGCAGGCAAAATAGCTTCTTATCATTAAGATTACAATCATTTTCAAGTAACACAAATATTCTTAAACTGAATCACAAATGAAGCTGCTGTATTACCTGAGGTGATGTTGTATTTTAGTCTCTCCCATGTTCTGGAAATGGAAAGATGTTGACAGTAGTAGCCTGTGCAATAAAAAAACCAAACCACATTCGTAGCTGCTTGCTGCAGAGTAATACAAAAGTCGTTAGAGGACCCTGGATAAGACAGAAGCATGATCCAGAGTCTCCTAGGTCCTCTCCTTACAGACAGCACACCAACGATGACAGAAAGGCTTTTAAACTCAGAATAGCAAGAATCAATTACAAGTTTATTACAAATAGAATAACCAACATTTTCAGTAGAAGAAAGCCAAAGTGATCAAGTGGGACAGAACATAAATAAAAGAGCATAAAAGCAAGTATTTCCCTAC